GTGTGGAGGTAGTGTCAGCAGACTTCACTGACAGCTCGAATGTGGGAGAGAGGGGAGGGGCCTCGACCATGACTCCTTTTCTGTGGCCTGAGACGAAGGGAAGCGCGACTGACGATTTTCACAGTACTTAAAGCAAGGGTAAGGGTCCTGAATTTGAGCCCCAGCACTCCTCCTTAGCCTTTTATGCCTCATTTCCTTCACATATAAGTGATGATAATCTGCACCTATATGCCTCACAGCATCATGGAGAGAAAACTGGGCATATCTTTGAAATTTACTAAAACCGGCTGACAAAATGTAAAAAACATCTCAAGACTAGCTATCTTTTTTTTCCACATTAAATGTAGACTACTTTATGAAGCATCCTTTCAACTGATTTCATTTTATATTATCTCAAAATCTTAGATACTAGGAGGAAAAAATATATATGTAAAACTTTAGAGTTTCTGTATTTGATATTTTTAAGACTCAACTTTGCTACATACAAAGTATAATTATAGTCAAGACTATTCATCATAGATAATAAACTAATTTGAATTTACATGTTAAGTTTACCAAAACTGTGCAAACTGAGTTTATTCAGAATAATCTTTAATTCTTAAAACTATACATACATATATATACATAAAACGCAAGCAAAAAAATCTTTTCATAAGACAATGGTATAACTGAGATCATGAAGGCACAATTAAGACCACAGAAAAACTTTTAGCACTTTTCTTCAAAACTCACAAATTCATTAGTTTGAATACTACTTTCTTCATTGCTGAAATCATGTTTAATCAATGTAACTTCTTTTCCAGCAAGAATACACAGTGTCAAGGCTATTAGCTATATTGGGTTACGGATAGGTTAGGGACTCCAAAACTATGATTCTTAGATCTCCTCTTCCATTATTTCCGGTCCTTCCCCTGCTGTAGAGAGGGAAAAGCTCCTTCCTGTCTGTCTTCCTTCCACCTCCCCTGACGGAACATCCACGCCTAAGTACAGAGCATAGAAAGCAGCAGGGCTAAACTCCAGGCAGGAGGCAGGAAACCCAATTAACACACACAGCGTAACATGTTTGCTTCCATATCCAGTATCCACACATCATTGTAAAATTTTCTCCCGGTCCCACAATATTGGAAGAAAAAGTCTTACGTTTCTGAATACCCCTTCTGCATATAGAAACGTAGTGTCACACAGTTCCTGTCCCAGATCTTCAAGTCTCACTCTTCCATCCTTAAATTTACCTTCCTCTCATCTCTGATGACTAGCTAACTAAACAAAAAATAAATTAGTTTTAAAATGTTCATGAAAGAAATGACCCCCCAAAAGAAGAGAGGGCAAAGGGGTGTGAGCAGAGGGCACAGAGGGCCCACGTCTGAAGATACACACTGCAATGTTACTTGTAATGATAAAAGTTGTGGAATATGCACTTGAGAGTCTGACTATCATTATGTTGACTGTCGTAACATGAAAAGATGTTATTTGAAAAAAAATGTACAAAATATATTAGGATTACCACTATGTAAGCAAATATGCATACCTAAAACTGAAAAAGATGCTGTATAAATACAAATAACAAAAGGTAAAGGAATTTTTCCCCTAAAATCTTATTACATTAAAAGTTTTAAGAACAAATTTTAGGGAAAAAAAGAAAACACTGGTGAGTGATGATGACATTAATCATTCCAGTAACACATCAACATTTTTGATAAGGAACTCCTGAAGGATAAAGCTCTTAACCTACAGGAGGTGCTCCACGGCAGTGTTTCTTAACCAAGGAAGTACTATCCTCTTCCCCACCTCCCAGGGATATTTGTAAGCTGTCAAAATGATCAGGGAGTATTACTAGCATTTTTTGGGCAAAGCTAAGTGTGACGGTTAATTTCGTGTGTCAACTTGACTGAGCCACGGGGTGCCCAGATATTTGGTCAAACATTATTCTAGGTGATTCTGTGAGGGTGTTTCTGAAAGAGACTAACATTTAAATTGGTAAACTGAGTAAAGCAGATTGCCCTCTATAATGTGGGTGGGCCTCACTCAATTAGTTAAAGGCCTGAACAGAACAAAAAGGCTGATGCCCCCAGAGTCAGAGAGAACTCTTCCTGCCTTCAGACTTGAATTGAACATCAGCTCTTCCGGGTCTGGAGGCTGTCATCCTCAGGACCAGAACTGCACCGTCAGCTCTCCGGGTCCTCAGGCCTTTGGACTGGTCTGGACTACACCATTGGCTCTTCTGGGTCTCCAGCTGGCCAACTCACTCTGAAAATCTTCAGACTTGCCAGCCTCTATATTCGCATGAGCCAATTCTTTATCTAAGTTTCTCTCTGAATATACGCACATGTATGTGGATATATGCACACACACATCCTATTGGTTCTGTTTCTTGGAGGACCCTGACTAAAACGCCACGATGGTAAGCGGCCTGCGATGCCAACGGCACCCTGTTGAGAATCACTGCTGGGGTGGGTGGAAATCGTGGTCCTGGTGGCAGGCTGGAGATAAAGAGGAGTGACTTCTAACAAGATGTGCCTTCTAAGACTCCTCAGATCCTCCCACACCAGATAACTACATTTTCGTAGTTCGCCATCTTTGCTGTGGGGTCACATAAAGTTATTCTAAAGCAGCCCCTAAATACTTGGTAAAAGTGGAATTAAAATTCACCTCTCTTCTTTCCACATATGCATTCTTAAACCACCTGACACTGGTGCCCATAGTGTTCTTTCCCTTTTACATCATTCTAAGTTGCAGACTCTACATTTATTAAAGATTTTACTTTTTCTTAGAGAATTTATAAATATGCATGAAGAGAAACATATCTTTTTCAAGATTCCCTCAGAAGGTAGTTCTGTCAATACACAAAAAGCAAGACATTGCTCTCGGCTGAGACGCGAAGGCACCAACCTCAAAGAGACTGGCTGTGAGCTCCTCCAGCTCCTGGCCCAGTTGGTCTCGCACTTTAGAAAGCCTCTCACACTCTTCATCCTTTAACTTCAGCTCCTGTGAGAAATCGATCATTTTATTTTGGATTTCCATAGTTCGAAGTTAGATTCAGCAGACTCTATACTCTTTACTAGTAAAATTACAAAATATTAACTCTGTCCCCTCCTACAACGTTCACATTGAAAATGTTTAGTTGGCACCTGCCGTGTGGAAGACCCTCAGGCAAATCTAAAATTACAAATAGAATTATATATCACATATTCAATTTTCATGTTTCTTTCATAAAACATCCAAAAATTAAATACGATTATATTACATGTGAAAATAAACAATTAAATGACTTCATTCTTTTTTCCCTTAACTTTTCTCTGAACATATTTATTTCCATCAAGCAAGGAATTTCTTCAATTACACTTATTCATTTGGATAAAAGTTCAGTGGCTTTTTTCCACATTTCCTTTAAAAAGTGTTTACTTGTAGATAACTTTATGTACCAAACTGCATTAGTCTAAAATTTCCCTTAGGAGACCATACCTATTTAACACTGCAACCAGAGGCAAATAATACATATTCGCATTTAAAATCAAGGAGAAGGTTAACAATGAAAATCACATCCAAATTTATACATGACTCTTCAACAGGCCACAAACAGATGTTAAAAAAGTCCTTTATGAAGATGTTAAAAATATACAATTTTATATGTAGCCCTAAATTAATCTGCTAAACTTAGAGATAAAAAAATCCAAGCTTTCTCTGGTCATAATTACATACTGGTCATAATTACACTAATAAAATAACGGGTTAGTTGTGTTGTAATTGTGGTGGCAGCATAGTTTTTGAATCCTTCAAGGACAACTCTTGGAAACCAAATATACCAACTGGGATGTCAGAAGAACCCAACAACTACGTCTTCTACAAAATCAGGTGAAAGAATCCCCACAAATCTTAGACTATGGGGGACGTGGCTACACTGCCAACACTGCAAGAAGCGGAAGGGACTGCAGAGGTACCCTACAGAACCCCAAAATCATGACACACACCTCAAAGGAGAGGACTCGACCCTTGGTGGAAACTGGGAGGACGAATCTGAGAAGAAACGGAGACAAAGGGAAAGGCTTCCCGGGCTCCGAAGAGCAGTGAGCGCAGTCCTGAGGAGCCGACGGTGCTGTGAGGCTCCAACGACCGGGAGGCATACGGCACCCAGCAGAGAACCTGCCAGGACAGAGCCCCCTAGGGAAAAACTCCTGGGTTCTGAAACTAAAGTGCAGGACGGGAATAATGGAGACAGAGAGAGAAGGTTCAGATGTCAAAGGAGGCAAGCACGGCAGGGTTCCAAAGGAAACAGACCAGAGAAAGTACTATCAGAAAAAAATAAAAAAATAAGTATCTTACGATGTAACGCTGAGCCTATGAAGCTCGCAGAGACACTGAGCTGAAGTGAGAAAACCTCCTTGGGTGAGGCTCACCTCTGAGACAGAAGTGGCCACAACGACACACCACGAGAACAGAAGGGAAGCCTTGCAAGGTAAACCTGAGAAAGCTACCCCAGTTTACCTCACTCCTTCAAGGGAGCCTCTCCCTAACAGTCCCGGGAAACCCAACCCATTTAAACACGGAAAACATACCAACAAAAAACAAGTGAAGTTATCATAATAACGTTAAACACACAGCCACGCCACCATAAGGGAAAGAAAATCAGACAAGTATCAAAATGTCAACAGCGTTTTACACTGGAAAACAACAGAGGCACGTTTTTAAGATACTCATGGGAAAAAAACGTGAGCTGAGGATTTTACATCCAGCCAGAGTATCCTTCAGTGTGAGACCAGAGGCAGAGTTATAAACCTGTAAACCTCTAGAGAACACCTCCTCAGAGCCCGCCTGAGTGATCAAGGAGAGAATGGGTTTCACATAATCAAGATAAAAACTGGAGGTTTAACATTAAGGACTAGGGTGAGAAGCAAATAATTTAACTGTAGAATTACAACCAAAAGATGGGAACGTCAGAACAATGAAAAGACAAGCCGCAGATGGGAAAAAATATTTGCAAAAGACACACCTGATATAGGACTGTTACCCAAAATATTCAAAGAACTCTTAAAACTTCAACAATAAGAAAATGAACAACCTGATTAAAAAATGGGCAAAAGACCTGAACAGACACCTCACCAAAGAAGATACAGATGGCAAAGAAGCACACGAAAAGATGCTCCATTTTATACGTCATCAGGGAACTGCAAGTTAAAGCAACAATGAGACACCACCACACCTATGAGAATGGCCAAAATCCAGAGCACCGACAGCACCAAATGCTGACAAGGATGGGGAGCAACAGGAACTCTCAGTCATTGCTGGTGGAATGTAAAATGGAACAACCACTTTGGAAAACAATTTGGCAGTTTTTATGAAACTAAACATACTCTTACCACGTGATCAGCAAGCTCACTCCTTGGTATTTACCCAAAGGAGTTGAAACTTACGTCTACACAAAAACTCACACACACAGGTTTATACATTCATAATTGCCAAAACTTGGAAGCAACCGAAGTGCCCTTCAGTAGGTGAATGGGTAAAGAAACTCTGGCACATCCAGACAACGGAACGTTGCTTGGCGCTAAAAGGAAATGAGCTCTCAAGCCCTGAAAAGACATGGAGGAAAACAAATGCATACGACTAAGTGAAAGAAGCCAACCTGAAAAGGCTGCATACTGCATGAGTCCAACTACATGACATTTTGGAAAAGAGAAAGCTGTGGAGACGGTAAAAGGGTCAGTGGTTGCCAGGGCTTGGGGGATAAGGAGGGACGAACTGGCAGAGCACAGAGGATTTTCAGGGCAGTGACACTATTCTGTATGATACTATAATGATGGATATGTGTCATTATAGAGTTGTCCAAACCTATGGAATACACACACCAAGAGTGAACTCTAATGTAAACTCTGGATTTGGAGGGATAATGATGCGTCAATGTAGGTTCATCGACTGTAACAAATGTCCCACTCTGGTGCCAGATGTTGACAGTAGGGGAGACTGTGTGTATATGTGGGGACAGGGATACATGGGAACTCTCTGTACGTTACTCTCAATTTTGCCATGAACCTAAAACCGCTCTAAAAAATAAAGTCCATTTTTAAAAATGAGGTTGAAGCTGATGAGTTATGTAAATGTTATAAGCTTTAGGAACATAAAAATAACATGTAAAAAAAACCCACATACACAAAACAGATGAAACTAAATTCTCAAACTTCTTAAATATTAACTGGGAGTAAAGGGATACAACTTTAGGCTCACAAATCAATTAGTATAAACCTAAATATACTTAACACCATAGACACTAACATTAAGATAACACTTGTCACTAACATGAAATGACAGAGGAGAAGGAAAGACAGTTTTAGAGTTGCTGTGGTGAAAACAAAGGCAGTGTCTGAAGAAGGGCTGAGAGAAATATCTTGATTACAGGTAACAACTAGGATGGAAACCAGACCTTCCAAAATACCAACAAGGAAAAAAGGGAGGAGGGGCAGAAGAACACAGAGCCTGGAGCGAAAAGGTTTGGACACACACAGCAGACATCTGAAAGCCACGTGACAGAAACAGGCCCAGATGCGGCACATTTATCAGTAAATATAAGTGCGCATAACTCACCTATTAAAAAATGACTTTCAGATTGGCTAATAAAGCAAAATCCATCTCAAAAGTGAGTCAGACAGATTAAAAATAAAAGGATGGGCAGAAGTATACTAAAAAACAAAATACAGATAAAAACAAAATAGGGGTCTCAATCTTGGTATCATACTAGGTAGAATACAGAGCAAAAATCACTAAAGACGACAAAGGAAACTTCATAATGCTAAAGACTACAACACAAAACGAAAACTTTAAAATACTCCGAAACACAAAAATACACCAGTGGACCTAAACAAAGACCTAAATGTAGGCAGGCACTACGGCAATCCCTCAGGATACAAAAACAAGATACCACCCTTGAGAAGCTTCTGAGCCATCAGAGCAACACCCCTCATTCATGAAGGCAAAATTCCTGATTAGCTCCCGACCATCTACCCAAGTGGCATAAACCTCACCTGATACTAAAGACCCTCTACAACACGTGTTCAGTTTTCAGTTTCCCTTTTCAGAGTGATCTACCTTGATCCAGACTCTAAAGCTGGAATTAAACTGGTCTGATACATTCTTGTTTCACGCCCCAATCTGATCACCCTCTGGACAAACTGTTTCCCCATTAATGTCTGACTACTTTCTCTTTATGCTTCAAGGTCCAACTCATTCTACCCATATGAAATCAAATTTGTATTTCATGTGAATATTTTTTAGAATTTGTACTTTTCATTATCAGAACCTTTTATTATAATATAGTTATTCAAAATGCATCCCTTCAACAAACATTAACTTTGTGTTAACGATGCATCAGGCATTCATCCAAGTGCTGGAGACACAGAAAAGGAGAGAGACGCAGGCCATGACTTTCACAAAGTCATAGCCTACTGAGGACAGCCAATCTTCCAACAGGTTCCCCAGGCAATCTGATAAGGGATGGTAGTGATGTGCACATACTAGACAAAGTAGGAGTCTGCCTATCACAAAACAGGAAGGAGTAAAACAGTATGTCTTACAGCAGCAAAAGCCGGGGAGGGGTGGATGCCACAAGAAGATAATGCCAGAAAGCTAGGTTTATGGCCAGTCCTGAGAAACCCTGGTTAAGAAATTGGCATTTACTTCAAAGGCAAGGGGAAATTATCTCCAAGGCAATGGGAGGTCACTGAAAGATTTTAAACAGGATAGTGACAATCAGATTTACAATGCAAAACAGTAACTTGGACAGTGTGGCTAGGTTAAAAAAAAAGACTAGAGACAGGCAAAACAGTTGATTACTGCAGTATTTTAGGCAAGAGATAGAGATCTGGAGTGGTACCCCTGGAGAAAGGAAGCCAAGAGATATTTAACTCAGAATCTCAGGACTCGACAATCAAATGTGTTTCATCAAATTTAAGGCTTCATTATTTTTAAGAGAAACATTTTATACATCAAGAAAGAAA